ACTTATAATTTTCGCTTAAAAAGACAACCGAAAATTAATTCGGCCTGACTCACTTACCTGTCCCCAGCAGAGTTGCCAAGCTATCGCGGCCGTCTTTCGGGTGGGCCCGGAATTGGGCTTCGACTTGAATAATTGGGTTAGAGTCGCCACCGATCATTTTAAAAAATATTTAGGTAGATCGGACACCATCTTACCTAATATGTGTTTTACAAGAAATGTGTCGGGTTCGGGAGTCAGTTACGGTCAAAGAAGGATTAACACCCTTGAACCGCCCTTTCGGTACCAATTAATTTGTCGGTTGTCTTTAATTGCAAAAATTAAAAATTAAAATTTAAAAACCCGATTCAAATTACTTACATTTGATTGGTTGAAATTCCTCTTAAAAAGTCACAAATGTTAGGAAAAAATAAATAATAAAATAATAAATCAAAGGAAATAAAATAAAATAAATAAAAAAAGTCAAAAGGAAAAAAGAATTGAATAAAAATAAAGAGAGGGAAAAGTAAAAAAAAGTAAAAAAAAGAATAAGTTAAAAGAAAAATAAAAAATATAAAAAAAATATAAAAAAATAATAATAAAAAAATAAATAAATAGATATAAATAAAATTAATAATAATAATAATAATAGTGAAAATAAAAAAACCAAAATAAAAAGAGTGAAAAAGAAAAGGGTTAAATATTGAAAAATAAAAAAATGAAAGAATGTTATGAAAATAAATCTTAACAAAAAGAAAAAAAAAATAAAAATAAAAAAGGACCAAAATGCAAAAAATAATAAATTTGAAACCCCAATTAAAACATTGGAAATTAAATTCAATGGTTAAAATATAAAAGATATAACTTACAGGACCACAGGTGTAATTTTCCCGTAAATGAAAAATGCAGAACCTCCTATTCAAAACGACGTCGCATGGGGGTATTTATACCCACAAAACCGGCCTTCCAAGGCCATTTGCCCTCATTTTCTCAAATTCTTTCTCTCTCTAAGAGGGAGAAACAAAAGTTTCTCTATGCCTTTTCTCTACAAATTCCCACCAGTGGGAAACCCAACCATCGGGCCGCCGCTCCGCCCACCGAAAAAAATTCCAAACTCACCAAAATGTTCCCTATGACTCCCTCAACATAACCCCAAAGCCTATCTCTCCAAACAAAACCCCTATAGGCATAAATCTACGCCTAAAAGTTCAATTTTTACCTTGAAGTCGGTGCCTTTTCGCCTTCCGACGACTCTCCTCTCGGTTCCGACGAGCCTTTTGCTTTGCTTTGATTTTTTTTTACTTATTTGCTTGGATTTTCTGATGTGGGGCTTCAGCCTTTGGTTTATGTGTTTTATATTGTTTGTGTTTTGTTCCCGGTTATGTTTGGGTTTTTGTTGGTATTCTTCGATGTTGGTAGTTGTTTGTTTTGGTTATGCCGTTGTGTTCGATGTTGGCTGATGTCTCCTTTTGGCCTCATCGGGGTGGTATTTATATGCCCCCTCGATGGGGCTGTTCCGAATTTGGTGGGGGTGGTTCCCCTCGTTTGGAGTTTGTTTGTTGACCGGCTGAAATCTCATGATGGGTTAGTCCCAAGATCTTTGGCCAGACGCCTTGGCTGGCCGTTTCGCGTGACTCTTGGCCTCCTTGACTGTGTGACGTTGTTGACTTGTTGAGTTTTTATGTTAGGGTTTTACAAACCCTAATGGACCTGGGCTAGTTCAGGCCTATTTAGCTTATGCTGGACCCGAACAGATTTGGGCTCTTGCTCATTTTTGACATATTAGACCCTGGACAGAAAACAAAAATAAATAATAAATAATAATAATAATAATAAATAATATATTATATATATAAAAGTATTTTCAAAAACCATTTAATTTTCAAAATGTTTTTTTAAAAACTATATATTATATATATGTTTTCAAAATGTTTTAAAAAAACTATATAATATATATATTTTCAAAAATATTTTAAAAACTATATATTATATATAAGTTTTCAAAAATGTTTTAAAAACTATATAATATATATAAGTTTTTAATTTTTTTTAAAAAAACTATATATTATATATATTTTTTCAAAAATGTTTTAAAAACTATATATTATATATAAATTTTCAAAAATGATTTAAAAACTATATATTATATACATTTTCAAAATGTTTTAAAAACTATATAATATATATACATTTTCAAAAATCATTTTCAAAGCTATATAATATATATATTTTAAAAACCGATTTTTTAAACATTATACTTTATGTTTTCAAAAACTGTTTTCTAAAAAATTATATATATTATATTTTTCAAAAATATTTTTAAAAATTACGCTATATTAATATATATATATATATATATATATATATAATAAATAATATAATATAATAAAAAAGAAAGAAAAAAATCTGAACGAAAATGAGTGTTTATAATACCAGTACATTTCCCTCCAATATAAAGCATATATATTAATAGCAGCTGCCCTTTCTACAAATGGTTGTTCCTTGTTCCCATATGTAATGGGGTAGGGGGAGGTAAGATAGTAGGCTGCCCCCAACACCAGGTTGAGAGCAGCTTCCGTAGAAGACCTCCGAATTATGAAATGCCCTCCGTGAGACTCGATCTCACGACCTCAAGGTTAAGAACCTTGTGCTCTACCAACTGAGCATATATGACATTATTAGATTAAAAAATGATTATGCTATGGGGAAAAATTGGACCGACTGACCGACTGCTCAGCACTTTGGCTGTTATCATGTAGCTCAATACAACTGGCTTTGAGCGAGGGCCATGGAAATTTAGTGGTTCATATGAATCGGTTTTAGCATGGAAATTTTGATTATCGGTTTTTAGCATTTTCGTTGCTGTAAAAGGGTTAAGCCCAATAAGGTAATATCTATCAAGCCCAAATAAAGAGGAATAGGGAATGTTTGAAGAGAGTGAAGATGATTAATATCAATTTTTTGTTATAATTTTATATAAAATATTTTTTGTTTATTCTAATAAATTTAAATCGATTTATTTTTTTTCGTATTATATTTTGGTATAGACTTTTTACTCTATTTTATAAAATAAATTTATTTCATACAATTTTACATCTATTTGATATTTTTTAAAATCATATTAAAAATGGATATTAAAAAATGTAAGAAATAAAATCAATTTACTTGTATGATGATGAAAACTAATACTGTAAATCAATATTAAGAAATATCAATGACTCGAATATGAATTTTTTGTATACAAACTAGGGGCGAGCAAAACTTGACTCGATTCAAAAAATCGAATTTTTCAACTTGACTCGACCCAAAAAAATTTCAAGTTCAAATTGAGTTGTAAAATGCAACTCGAATAACTCGAAATTTTTAGTAATTAGTGGATTTATTTTCAAGTTTGAGTCAAGTCTTTGGACTTTGTATGATATATGTATATCACATATGAAAAAAAATATGAAGAAATGTATTTGTATTATATATGGTTATAGAAAGTTATATAAATTGGAATAAAATAATATTATAATATTATAAATATATAACATTAAATTTAAACAGAAACTCAAAAGAATAACTCGACTCGAAAAAATTTCAAATCAAGTCCGAGTTGTAAAATATGACTCGACAACTACAAAAACTTAAAAAAAATTCGACTCGATTCGATTAAATGCTCACCCCTAATACAAGCAATGGCAAAACACAAGAGATGTTGGTGGGGGCCATTAAAAAAATTATAAATTAGACTCTTAAAATTAAAAAAAAATAATTTGGTCCCTTCAAAATTTTTAGAAATTAAGATTAAACTACAAATTTTTTAATATTCTTAATTAAACCCCTTCCTATAACTTTTAAATAAATAATAATAAAAATTTTAGTTCGACCCTATTTTTTTTTAAAAAATGTAAACTAAATCCTTTAAAAATTTAAAAAAATTTAAATTACCTTTAAACTTTTTAATTAAGTTGACCCCTCAAATTCTATCACAAGTTGTGTCACTACATATAAGGACTAGAACTTAAGATTTATTTAAACAATATCAAGTTACTTACCACCATTAATAAAAGTTGATCTCATTTTGATAAATATAATTGTAAAATAAACATTGTCTCTTAAATTATCATATCAAATGAAATATTGTAAAGTGAGTAGCCCCCATATTTTATTCCATGTTGACGAGATATGAACGTTCGATGGGATGGTTTTTAGACTTAGATATTTGGTGCCAAATTATATTTAATTTGACAAAAAACATTTCTTGGAGAGAAACGATTAATTCCATGATTAATTAAAGAAAGACTTGGATTAGCCGCCAACTCTTTCTGACGTGCACTCTTGGTATTGACCAATTGAGACAAGTGAAGGGACAATCAATCGACACTCAAAATCATTATTTTCAGACAATTCTTTCATCCTTAATAAGAAACTAATCTCCACTTTCCTTTAAACTTTCTTGGGTGTTATTAAAGAGTCCTGGAATTTCAAATCACTGCCCTGTTTGGATGGCCAATGCACAATTGCATGTCGATCGTAATCCCATTATTTTTCTTCACAAATTTCATGATTGAGTGGCAGATTTTTAAATAAAGAAAATGGGCATCGTATGAGTAAAAAGATTTTCAGTTAAGTTGGATTGAGTTTGTAAAAGAATAAACTGGATTTAATATTAGATTTTACAGTTAAATAATTAAACTTAGATTTGAGTTTAAATGATAATTTCTTAATATTTTAATTCAATTTATCTCGTTAATATTAAATTACTGAAATTCAACTTTACTTCGTGGCTCGAACTTGACTTAACGACAACTACATAAACTTATCTTCGATCTTTAATTATATATCCTTAAGCTTGAACTTAAGTTTATAAGAGACTGTTCAATAGTAATTAAACTAACATCACTAGTCTTTTGAACTACTCAAATCAATATTAAGTTACTTAAAATCTCTCCTAAACCTAATTTCAGTATAATAATGATAGGTTGAAATGGAAGTTTTATTTGCTCGAACAACTTACTCATAGGCTGGCCCCAATCTCCAAATATTTTCAAAGATGTTATCAGCACAAGTGAAATTTAACTATTAATCATCGTTTTTATCATTTGATTTTAAGTTCGAATCTCAACAACAATTTCTACAATTAAATAAGCCTAAAGAAGTTTAAGTTATCCAAGTTGAACATATTCAAACCCCAATATTTACTTCAACTTATTCCTTGTATGGATAACCTTAAAATCTCCGTTGTTTTTAACTTCTCCAAGCGTTGGATCCTTTGTTCTTCCTAGGAGAATCCAAACTTCTAAAAAGCAGATGCTTCATTGCAGTGATCAAATTCCCAGCAGGATTTTCCGGCGGGCTCGATGACTTGAACTGCTCACAGAATTTCGTGCGTCGAACTAATGCTTCGTTCGTTGTAATTACAGTCTCCGGTGCCGACCTCATCGTTTCGTATTTAACCGCCTCCGAACATAGGCCGCAAAGCCAATTCCCTTCGAACTTTTCACGCACGCGCGCAATGTAAGACGGCGTGCACTCCTCCGTTAACCCGCAACAATCACACTCGGCGAACTCAACTTCGTTTTGGTTGTTCTTTTGTTTAACAACTGCCGCCATCGAAGCTCGCCTGCAAACAAAAGTAAAAAAAAAAAAAACTTGTAATAATTAGGGAAAAGGATTTGAATTTTGATACAAACCCAGATCAGAAAAGTGTTTATCTTTCTTTTTCCCCTCCCTTTCTTGGAATTTCTCTTGAACAGCGACGAGAAAAAAAAGTGCAAATTTCCTATGCATTTGAGAGCCGAATTTGGCTCACTCGGGTTTTTGTCTATTTAAAAACAAAGACCAAAATCTCTGAAGGAATGGGGAAACAATTATGGATCTCAATTGCATTAATACAAAAAGATTTTGCGCGTATGTTTCTCCTCTGATTGATTTGTTTTTCCTTCACAAAACCATGGGGATTTTGTTTACAGAGAGAAAAAAAAAGATAACGCTACGCCTCAATCATTCAATGGTGGCAAAAAAATAATAAGACTTTTTCAGGTCGCCTTGCCCCATTAACCCGACACGTATACAAGAACAAGCGAATGCTATTTTTTCATAGCAGTAACTCAAATGCTGTCCTGTCCGTTAAGCACTTTAGCTAACATCAAGCAGCCATGAGCGAAGATAAATTAGTAGACCAGGTTAACCGGGTTGTAAAAAGCTGACTAGACTTGTAAAATTGACTGAAATTGATTCGAAATAAAATTGTTTATGACTTGAGAGATAGTGATCTGAAATTGACTCGTGTCCGAACTGGTGTTCACCTGAACCCGAGTTGGACCTAGAAATTATTGACCTGAACCCGAATTAAATCGATAATATGATAACCGAACCCGACCTGCATCTGACTGATATGAATCCGAACCCGAGATTAAATTGAAAAATAATTGGTATTACTCGACTTGTTATCAACCTTACCTGTAATTGACTCAACCTGTAAATAATCCGACTTGTTATTGACATGAGATGACATTTATATGACTTGATATTTACATGACTTATAAGTTACAATTGATGAAGTTGTGAGATTTTTTTATTAAAAGGACCGTCAAGTTTATTAATTAAATAGGATAACAACGAAAACATAACGTCTTGGAAACGGAACAACCAACTAAAGCACATTAACTGTCCTAAAAAAACAACAAGGAATAAATGAAGCTAATAAACAAAACAAGTAAACAAGAAGAAACACCAGCCATCCATTTCCCGTGCAACAAGACAAATGAAAAAACAATGAAGAAACAGATTGTAGAGAGACCAAACCAGCAGATAAAACCAAAAGCTAGACAACTTCAACACTGAACATACACTGGCTACGGGGGATCCAACCAACTTTTGTCCATAGCCGATTGAAGAACCACTGAACGAGGGGCGTCCTCAACCCAAAAGAAATCAAATGATCCCTCCAAGGAATCCGAGACGAAGAGGTGAGCCACCATATTACCATCCTTTGGAGTGAACCTAAAAGTACAAGAGCGAAAAGCCTTTGTATGTGACCAATCATCCCAAATGAAAGCCCCAATTTCAGAGAAGTTAGTCGTTTCCTCATTTAGTTTTTGGATCACTATTTTTGCGTCTCCTTCTACCACCACTCGAGTGAAACCTAAGTTCGCCGCAAAATGGAGAGCACGAATCATGGCTATCGCTTCCGCAACAAACGCCAAGGTAATCCATTATGCTTTCTTCGGCATGCACCCATAATTAGTCCTTGATCATTTCGAATGAGAACCCTGAACAAGAATGTTTTTCTGCATGTACAAACCAAGCGTCAATATTCACTTTGACAAATCCCCGATGAGGAGGAGACCAATGCCCTAGTTGGGACCTAGCCGAAGCAGAGGGCTGGAGAGTAGCCTCCAAAAAGTCCGAACAGTGGGATTTAACAAAGGTAAAGCTTTTTTCACTGTCGTGTTCCTCCTATCGTGTATGAGTTTATTCCTGAAGAACCATATGGCCCAGATAGCAACTAGATAATAACATGCTTACCGGAAGGATTATTAGTAAATAACCAATGTCACCAATCAGAGAAATCTAATTATGTAATCTCCAGTGGCCAAATAAAACAGAGCATGGGCCAAAGGAGACTAGCTAAGCGGCAGTCTCTCACAACATGCACAATCGATTCTACATATCCCGAACAAATGGGACAATATGGATCTTGAAAGATATATCCCACAAAGATAACTTGTTTCATTTATACAAAATTATGAGTAAACTTCCAATTTTTCAATTTGATTTTCCTTTGACATTGACCATCCCAAATCTGCTTATATGAAGCCTTTGTAGCCGATGGGACCTCAATAATTGATATTAACATTATATAGTCAATTCTCACACTGAAATACCCGATCGTTCACCTCTCCATACCAGAAAATCGTTCTATTTAAAATTCGAGAGAGAAATGTGAAAAATGAGTTGAGGTTCAGTTTCCATAAAAATTGAATTCATAAGGGATTCATTATACTCCATCGTCTCCTCTAAGATGAGGTCAGAGACACCCAATTAATCGAATCTACGCAGTTTGATTGAACCAGAGTCGGGGACTCATAAGGGAGCCATAAATATTCCACACTAAGATAGATACACCAGATCCAACCCTCAATCTCAATCATTTCTCTAAAAGGCATCGGGCACACCAAATACTCCTCCAAACATACGACGGGGATGAACCCAAGCGAGCATTTAAAAATTTAGATCCCGAAAAATATATTAGCCTTAACAAACGACTGACCAGTGAGTGAGGATACACAATAAACCTCTAGTCCTGTTTAGCAAGAAGGACTATATTGATCTTCCTCAGATTTTGGAAGCCAAGACCACCATTAGATTTCAACGAGCACAAAGCCTCCCAACAATACCAATGAATTCAACCTCTATTAGTTGTCTTCTACCACCAGAATTTCGCCATCACACTTTCCAATTTACCACACAAACTACTAGGTAACAAAAAACAATTCATTGCATAAACTGGAATGGCTTGAAGAATAGACTTCAAAAACACCTCATTACCTTCCTGAGATAACAATTTAACACTCTAAGACTGGATCCTAGATAACAATTTCTCACACATATCCGCAAAGGCACCACGCTTATTACGCCCCACCAGAGCAGGTAACCCAAGATATCTTTCCAGATTTGATGAATTAGAAACATTTAATATCCTCTGAACATCACTTCAATTTTTCTGGCCATAACTTTTGCCATAAATATCCAAAACTGATTTAAGATCCAAAACAGTAAGGACAATAACTTCCCCAAATATCAAGATATCATCGGCAAACAATAGATGTGTTATAGTCGGGGCATAACGATTAATTCTAAATCCTTTAAATCTTCTCGTGCAATTAGAATGGCGTAAAAGAGAGGAAATTCTCTCACTGCATATCAAGAATAAATACGGACTCAATGGATCGCCTTGACGTAAGCCACGTGGGGGATAAATTTTTCACTGGGTAAGCCATTTATCACGATTGAGAATGAAGCTGAACAGACACAACGGTGCAACATTTTGATCCATTTTAAAGAAAAACCCATCATTTCCATAATATCCCACAAAAATTGCCACTCGACCTGATCATGGGCCTTTACTAATATCTAGTTTCAAAGAGAAAAAATCAACCCTTCTCATTTTCGAGTAAATAAGTGTAGCAATTCATAAGCCGCTATAACATTGTCAGTTATGAGACGACCAGGAACAAAGGTGCTTTGTACCTCATCAAAACACGACTGAAGAGTATTTTACATCCGGAGCACCAACATTTTCGACATAATCTTGTAAAGGATGTTACACAAACTACTAGGTCGAAATTGAGTAATACGAGTGGGCTCATGAACCTTCAGAAGTAGAACAATATAGGTATGGTTCACCATAGTAATATATGCTTTACCCCGAGATAGTTTAATGCAAAAATCTACTACTTCACTTCCGATAATATGCCAGAAATGCTGAAAAATTGCCCCTAAACCATACTCCCCATCGCCTTCAGAGGTCCCATGGATTTTACTGCCTGCCAAACCTCCTTGGCCGAAAAGTCATGCAACAGATCAACATTCAACGTCTTTATTATACATGGTCTTATGCCTTCAATAATTCTTTCATCCACTCCATCGAATTGGGAAGCAAATAGAGACTGAAAATAGTCACGAGCAAGTGACTCTAATGCAACTTCACCCTCCATTTGCTCACCATTATCATCCCGTAAAGATTGGATCCTATTACGATGTTTCCTAAACGATGCAAAATGATAGAAAAAGGTTGTATTATTGTCCCTAAATTTCAACCAGGTTACTTTTGCACTGTTCCCAGTAAATCTCCGATTTATCCACTTCAAAATTTAGTTGCATCTTAGTGTCTACAATGTCCCCAACACATCATCAGTGGGCTGGTTATTGAGTAATTCTGCTAGTCTCATTTTTAGCATGGACTCCGATAACTTATTTTCTTTGTGAATACGACTGAACCAAGCATCCAAACCACCACGAACAGTAGCCATCTTGTCAACAATGGAACCATTGGTAATTCTCCACAAATATTGAACTCCTAGCTCATAAGTCTCTCTAGGAGCCAGGAGGATTCAAATTTGAAATGCCAATATCTTCCTTCACTTAGGGGCCTAACATTGTACATTAACAGTGGGAAATGATCTGATAATGAGCTGACCAAATGGGTCAACATAAAATTGGGAAAAAGAGACTCCCAAGATAAATTGGCTACACCTCTGTCCAAGCGTTTGCGGATATTATTATCCACTCGATGACCTCTTCCCACGTGAAAGATGATCCCATATAACCCACATCAGCCAAATTACAATCACCTAACACAATCCTGAAAGATTCCATTTGCCTCTTATTCCGAATCAAACCACCTGTTTTTCATGTAGTATAAGATCTCATTAAAGTCCATGATATCCAACCACAGAACATCAGGACTATCATTTAATTGGTGCAACAGCTCCCATGGTTCATGTCAATATTGCTCTTCAGGGATCCCATAGAAACTAATATCTCCAGTATAAACCTTTCGAATCATGATTGAACAATACATCAATATGGTTATTAGAAAACGACCACACAGTAACATCACATGTATTTTTCCAGGCTAAGAAAAGACCACCACCACTACCTCTAGCATCAGCTTCAAAACCAAACAAAAAACCAAGAGACCAACGAATTTTAATCATATACGAACTCTACAACTTAGTTTCCATGAAGAAAACTACAATGGGCATGATATCCTTCAGTATATACCGAACATGGCGAACTACCCGAGGCTGCCCAAGACCTCAGGCATTCCAACTCAAGATTTTCATTGTGACCGTCCAACTTGAGATATACCAGAAACAAGTCCACTGTTCCACCTAACCCGTGTTCCATGGATAAACTCTGTCGTGGCCTTTTCGAACCATCTGTCTTGAGAATCAGATCATTCTCCTCCTCAGGTG